TTTTTATTGTGGGTTAAGTGATAGTTTACATGGGAGAACATTTGCTTTATATTATTCTATCATATTTCATTTCATTGCAATGATTACAATCCCCTCCATGCATCATCAAACAACCAAAGGGTACACTCCACAAGCCTGCCCCCAGCCGTCAGCACACAGACCCTCTCCCTTCCAGAGTCCAGAGTCCCCAGCCACTCCATCTCTCCACGTCATTGTCTCTGCCTCCATCTCTGGTGTCACTGCTTCTGTGGATAGGGTCCCATACTCTTCTCGTCTCCCTTGATGGTCCTAGGGACCTCTGCTCCTGGACTGAAAAATCAAACACTCCCCTCCTGTTGTTAAAAAATGTCTACTTTTACATTTCCAACACTCACAGTCAGTCCTGATAGCAATTATTCACTGTTGAACCACAAGAGTCTTATCCCCATCTCCTTTCATAAACCCCATCCAGATAGGTTGGAAACCACTCAGTGGAAATTCTACCGTCCCCTGCCCCCTCTGGAACTAAGCTCCCTCTTGAGAGCTTGTAAGCCAGTCACCACTTCGTCCCTTTGTAGCCCCCATCCCATTTTGGGTAGCCAATGTCTAAGTTGCCCATCCCTGTCAACCCTGTGTACCGAGGAAGTGGGAATGATCCTCACTGTAAAGATTTGTTCCCTCTAGTGAGCTACTACATCCATAAGTATAGGGAAAGTTCATCAAATTGTAGTGGATTACTCTTTTTTTTTTTTCCTCTTTCTTCTTCTACTCGAGTTCTGATCATCTAGCCATTGAAGCCAGGTCAGGTGGGTACTATCTGCAAGTATGGTTGTTCTTGTGCATCTCCTTTCACTTCATATCAGCTGGACGCTTCACTGTCCATTCTAGTCCTCTGTGGCCATGTCCCTGTCTCTGGGCCCAGGAGTCCCTAGGTCTTGCCATACTGTTAGCCAACAAGGTTTCAGCCCAGGTTGACAGGAGTCTATTGAATGTGGTCGGACTTAGCTCACAACTTCATTGCTGTTTTTCCCCCACTTCCCCTTACCGGTGACCAACGTGCTCAGCAGCAAGACCACATGGCTGCTTGTGTAGTCCCCTTGAGTCTCAGTCTTGGAAGGGGGTTTGCCCTGAGGGGGACCCGACCACTTGCCTTGATGGTTCCCAGGTGAACAACTTGCTTATTCTTGTAGTAGTCAATCAGAGTGCCGTTAATTGTTTTTTATTTTCCCTGCTGGTCTTTCAAGAAGTATCTTCAGTTCTTCTAGCAGCTCCGGGCTGGTCTGCTTGTCCTTTTAAGTAGAAATTTCCCAGCTCAGAAGATTCAGGTTTCCATCTTAGTCTTATGCAATGCAAAGAATCCACAGGAAGCCTCCTTCACTGGGCAAGTTCTAGCCCCATTTTAGGTATTCTAATCAGTTATAGGCTGAAGACAGACTTAAAAGCTTTCTCTGGTGATGTTTCTGTCTATTCCTTTCTCTCCCCCTTAAGAGTCTATTTTACAATAGTAGGCAAGTGAAACCAAGATTCAAATGACAGCCAAGCATCTTCACATTATTTCCCCCCTTTTACTCATTCAAACCATGCCTCAGTCCCTGTATCCCAGAGCCCTTTGTTCCAAGGTTGTGCATACATCATTATTTATCTCTGACCCAGGTAGCCCATGCAAACCTGTCTAACTGTTCTCCCATCCGCCTTGTTCTTCCATTCCCCAACCCCATTCTTATGTATTGCCCCCTCCCCAGCACCCAAACTATCCTATGTCTTTTCCCTACCCTGTGCTCCACCTTCCCCTCCCTCCCCTCACCTCACTCCATACACCCTGGTAACCAGCAAATATTTTTTTTTCTTTTCCCCTTTTAGTGTGGGTACTTTTTCTTAGTCTTTTACAATAATGGTCCTATACAGTATTTCTCCTTTTGTTACTAATTTCACTCAGCATAATGTTCTCAAGGTTCATCCATGTTATGCGATGGCTTCCTTGTTATTCTTCAAGGTAGCATAATATTACATTGTGTGTATGTACCAAAGTTTGTTTTTCCATTCTTCCATTGATGGGCGCACATAGGCTGTCTCCATCATTTTGCTATTGTAAATGGTACTGCTATGAACATTGATGTGTGGCTCGTTTTTCTTGTGTATAGATACTGAGCAGAGGGATTGCTGGATCATAAGGTATTTCTATTTACAACTCTCTGAGGAAGCGCCATACTGTTCTCTAGAGTGGTTGGATCATTTTGCAATCCCACCAACAATGTAAGAGGTTCACAGTCTTTCCATCGCATCCTTGCCAACATTTATTGTCCTCTACTGTTTTGATCTTTGCTGTTTTTGCTGGTGTGAGATGATATATCATTGTAGTTTTGATTTGCATCTCTACAATAAAATAATGATCTCAGCAAATGCAAAATGCAACATTATTTGTGTTTGGGGTTTTAAAAAAATATAATAAAACAAAAAGTCTACTACCACAGAGTAACTTAGTTGTAAATAAAATAAAAATTTTAAGTGGGACATAATCAAATTGATAATATTTTGCCTTACCTTAGATATTTTGACCAATAAATCATTTTGGGGAACATATTTTAAAAGACATTTTAAGGTACAAAGTTGAAGTGTGTATGTATGTATAACTGTGTCATTGGCACAGTTTTACTTCTGTAAACTTTTCAATTTCTGAAAAGTATCTACTCATAGTCTATAATTTAGATTGCTGTTTTGAGGAACTTTAAAATTTGCTTTAAAGTGATTACTTGTAATGAAAATCTAGTTGGCGTTTTGGACTTATTTTGTTTTGTTTCTAAAGTTTAGTTTGTTTTTTAAAGCAATGCCTCAGCTCATAAACATTGTTTAATCTGGTTCTAGGTTGTCTAGCTTAGTTTATATTTTTGTATTTATTTTGCTAAATGGTTATCCTGGAAAGAAAACTAATATTTTATACACACTTTATTTGGTTAATTTGGTTATTTTAGAATTTGGAGGTAGTTGTCTCTGATCAAATGTTTGTGTTGTTTTCTGCTATAAGAATTGTTGTTATTAAATGCAATTTATTTATTTATTTTTGTTGAGGAGCACATTCAATCCATAGCACTAAAATGTTTAGTTGTTGTTAAGTGCCTTCAAGTCAGTTCCAACTCATGGCGACCCTATTTAGGGTTTCCAAGGAGCAGTTGGTGTTTGAACCAACTAACCTTACAGTTCAAACTGACCTTAAGGTCAAGTTTTCATCTTACAGCGCTGCATTTAGTAGCTTTTATTTTTCCTAACTTTGTGGTTCTTTCATTTGTTGCTATTAACTGCTGTAGAGTCAGTTCTGACTCTTCGTGAGTTTCTTACTCTTTCCGAGGCATATCTTTGCGGCAATAGAAAACCTCATCTTTCTCCCTTGACGTGTCTAGTGGTATCGAACCACAGACCTTGTGAGTCACAGTCCAGTACTAATGCTATGGAGCTTACAGCACCTATTGTTTAAAGTAGTGCAGTTTTCAAAGTTATTCATAATTTTTTATAATAACCTTCCTAGAACTGATAAAGTATTAGAATATTTTAAACTTTTTAATTAAAATATTTTATCAATTAAACCTTTATTTTTCAGCTTTATACAAAGAATTTACTTGGAGAGAAACTACATTAATATGTACTATGAATTGCAATAGCTATCAGTTAGTAAATGCTTAGTATGTGTGTACAATTAAATTTGACAAAAACCCTATGGTGTAGGTATTACAATTGCTACTTTACAGATGGGAAAACAGGCTAGGTGGCAAAAAGGAATTTGAACTTAGGCAATCAGACTCCAAAGTTTGAGTTCGTACCCATTACAAATAAGATTTGTTTTTATGAATTTCACAGTAAAATAGCAGGAAACAAGCAAATACATAGACTAATTTTATCAATGCTAGCCATGCTCCTTGTTGTTGTTAAGTGCCCTTGAGTCAGTTCTGACTCACAGTGACCTATATAGGGTTTCTGAGGAACGACTGGTAGCTTGGAACTGCCAACCTACAGGTTAGCAGTCCATTCATTGCTTATCTTACATCACACACCAGGACTCTAAGCCATGTTAGTACAGGCTATTTAATAAGGTCAAATATTCCTTTTTTTTTTTTTTTTTCCCCTACCTTGTTCTGAGTTGAGTGAAGACTTTACATTCGTCAAATCATATTCTTTGCTTCGTTAGGATGACTGCAGTCCCCTCCATGTACCAACAATTAACAGTATTTAACTCTGATCACTCTAAGTCATGCATTCTTACCTTGTGACTCCCACTATATTCATCTTTCCTCTCCCAACCTCCCTTTTGCATGTGTTAGCATGTGTCTACCCTCTTTTGTTGTTAAGTGCTCTTAAGCTGATTCTTACTCATAGTGACCCTTACAAGGTTTCCAGGGAGTGATTGTTGAGTTTGAATCACCAACCTTGTGGTTTGCAGTGCTTATCCTACACTAGGATTCGTCTTCCCTCTAGTTTGTGAATAATTTTCTCTCCCCTTATGCCCCAATAGCCATCATAAATGTTTTCTTTTATCAAGGAAATTTTTTCTTAACTTTTTACAGCAGTGGTCTTATACAATATTTGTCCTTTTATGAGTGACTGATTTCACTCAGGTGCATCCAAGTTATGAGGTGTTTTACATATTTATTGTTAATTCTTCAGCATTATGTAGTATTCCATTGTGTGATTATTCTAAGGAGTACATATCTCCCTGATGTTATTCTTCTGTTAATAGGCTGTCTCCATTGTTTGTATGTGTCTTGTAAACAACATATTGAAGGGTCCTGTTTTCTTATCCATTTGCCACTCGCTGTCTCTTGACTGGTGCATTTGATCCTTTCCATTCAGTGTAGTAAATGATAGGTGTGAATTGATTGCTGTCATTTTGCTATGTGATTTTTTTGTGGTGCTAATTTTTTTTGTTCCACATAATTTTCTGTGTCAAGTTCATTTTGTTTGTAGGTTCTCTTTTTCACATCATTTTAATTTCTGTTGTGTTAATGTTTACTAAATCATCTTGTTTCATATAGGATTCACCATTATTTGACCTTATTAAACAATCAAAGGACCGAGAAGGACCAGCTGATCATCTTGAATCTACTTGTACTGTCAACCTTCCTCTTCAGAATAATCACACTGCCGCTGACATGTAAGTAGAGCATACGTTACAGTACCAACTCATCCTGCAAATAAATATATTTTTAGCTTAATTGTAATGAAAGCAACTTTGTAGACACTTATAGAGAATATAATTTGGAGTATGATGTTGCTCCTGCTTGCAAAATGCAGAAGCAAAGATACATAACCTAAGTAAAGGTTATATAAAGTGATACAAAGTGCTATTAAAATCGCTCAGGGTTGAAACAATAAGGACAGTTTGTATGCTAGCATTGGCAATTTAGATAGGTCTTAAAAAGTGATTAGGATTTTTATATGGAGACCGGAGAGGAGGGCGGAGACAGCAGTGTCCCAGAAGCCAAAAGTGTCATGAACCCAAAAGTATGAGCCAGGAAATCAGGAACTGTTTTTTCAGAACGTAGATTAGTCCATTTGATAGTGAAGCATATGAGCTAGTTGTAGGGTCATTATTACATAATGCTGCTGCTGATGGAAGAAATTGCAGCAAGAAGGAACATTTCTGGGAGCCTCCTAAGTACTTCAGATTTCTTCTTTTCACGTAATCTTCATGATAGTCCTGTAAATACTGCTGTCAACCTTAGTTACCTGTAAAATAGGAATGAAAGAGTTAAAGTGACTTACTAACTCAGCAGAAATCAAATTCGGGATATTGGACCTTAAAGCCTCATGCTTTAATCACTGTAGCTACTCTTCTTAGACATGTACCTAATGTGTTTCTCTTTAGTTCTTTACAGGAATTGACATTTCACTGTCTTGTGAGGTAGTTCATTTTCTCGAGATACCATTTCCATGCTAATTTATACCCAAAGCATTTGTAGAATATGAAGACTTTGCTTTCACATATAACTTATTTGCTAAGTAGTGCTATTTTCATAAATAAGTCAAGCCTTATATTTTCTTTAAGTGGTTTCCTTTTGAGTGCCAGAAAGTGTTCCAGGCACTGCGACTTTGCCTTTTTTCTAAAGAGCTTACATTTTGGAGGAAGGAAACAAAGAGTAAACAAGTAAGTTTATAAGTAAGATAATTTTAATCCAGTATGAAAGGGCTTCATGGAAAATCCCACTGTCTTTTAATTCCATTTTATCATAAACTTTTTGAAGTACCCTTGTATAATAAGTGTTAGAAAGGAAATAGACTGTAATTTTAAAAGAAAAACTTGAGGCAGTAATAGGATGTTTAGGGAAGCTTTTTCTCATGAAGTGATATTTTGACCTGTACTTTAAGGACAAGTGGATGCTGAGTAGGCAGAAATCTGCATGATGTGCATTCCAGGAAAAGCATATCGCAAGTGCAAAGGCCTTCAGGCAGGTTGAACTTGACTGATTTCAAAAACAAAGAATCCTCCTTGTGGCTGGAGTACAGTCAGCAAGAGAAGAGTGTATTGGATGAGGTGGAAGAGGCACTACAAAGCTAGATCTTGAGGTTTCCACGGGCCATTGTAAAGAGTTTGAATATTAAAACGGTAGTGGGAAACCATGACGGGTCTTAAGCAAGGCATTGCTGTAGTTTTTAAGTGCTGTCAGTCGGTTCCAACTCAGAGCAAACCTGTAAAAGGTTTCTAAGACTTTAAATTTTTGTGGGAGCAGAGGGCCTCATCTTTCTCCCATAGCTTGCTGTAATTTGTATTTTTAAACGACCACTCTTTGGCTACTGTTTGGAAAAACAGATGCAGCTGAGGAGAGGAAAGAAAAATAGGGAGACCAATTTAGAGACTATTTCAGTAGTCTGAGTGAGAGATGTAGTTGACTTAGTATCAAAAATGGTAAAGGGGCTGACATCTGGCCTCCTTTAGCTTCACAAATGGGGAAGGAGGAGAATCAAGTTGGGGCTGAGGTCAGACATGCTTTACCAGTTCTGACATCAGCCATCCCTCCCACAGTACTCTACTTCTCTACTTGGTATGATCATTCATTTCAGTGACCATGTAAAACACAGAGATAATACTCACGATTAGAGGAACTACTAGGGAAGTTAGCAATTTACATTGTAGGACCAGAATAATTCAGCATACAGTTCCAGTCAGGACTGTCTTCTTCTCAGCTGTGCCTGCAGGTATAACTCTTTCTGACCCCTTGACCTCTGCCCTTGCTTGGGCAATATTACAAAGCAGTTTTAAGGTTGCTGATAAATGTCCAAAGGACACTCCATTCTGTTATAAGCAGCAGCTCAAAGGCACTTGACTCTGGCTCTGTGGGTCAGCAAACCTAGCTTCCTCAGATTAAGTATTGTAGAGGTGCCCCACTCTGCAAATGAGCCTCCTGCCCAAAGGCACTCAGCCTTCACTCCATGGGCAGGAAGTGCACCATTCTGTCTTGTGCTCTGGCTCTTGGTTCTGCTGCTGCTGCTGCTGCTCTCATGTCACAGTCCAGTCTCTGGGTCAAGAAGCTTTAAGACACAGGGACCTTAGGGTCCAAAGGATGCATTCCACTCCTGGCTCTTTTTTCTTGTTGGTAGTGAGATTCCCTTGTTCATGCTTCTGAGAGGGCTCATTTTATATCCACATTAGAATTCCAAGTTTTATAATCACAATTACCTGTGTATCAATTATCATTGATTCATTAATGCCATCAGCATCTTCCCTTGCCTTCTCTTAGACCCATCAGGAATAAAGTAATTTGGTGGGAGTTACAGAGACAATGGCCTTCTAGAAGAGACATGTTAAATAATTCATTGTACTGCACTTAGTCTAAGTTGTGGCCATAGAGATAAGAAATAGAAAGGCTTGAGATATATTTCAGAGGTAGACTTAATGGGACTTAGTTTTGCATTGGATTTGAGGAATGAGGAAATTACAAATGGCTCCTAATCTAATGACATAAGAAACTGGATGTAATTGGAGCTATTTACTGAATTAAAGAAAACAAGGAGAAGAAATCAAGAATCCCATTTTGACCTTACTAGGTCTGAGATGAAATAGTGTGCTATCAGGAAGATAATTGGATAGTTACATCTAGAACTCAAGGAATCCCAACTTGTGCTCAAGTTAAGTCAGTTTATAGAATACTGCCAGCTAATGAACTGAAAGGAAACTTCAAGGTGGATAATAGATCAAACATTGGTACTAATAAATCATCATGGTGATGATTCCTTTTTCTAGTGTACTAATTAATATAATGTAGTACATGTAGTAGAAACAGCCTTAATAAAGTACTGTTTCCAGCTCAGAATTATTTCTCTACTTTTGAAACAAAATTAGAAAATAGAGTTAGATTATTTTATTAGTGGTCAACACAGAGCAGTAGAACTGCCAGAAATTTAGAGCTAATATTTACTAATCTTTCCACTTTGATTTATGCCTGACATGTTTGTATTATACAGCTGTAAATCTACCTTGATAATGTATCTGCAATTTTAATTCATAGAATTCTTTATTATATAATCAAGGGGTATGTGTGTATGTGTATATGTGTATTGTCTTTTTACCATATGTGAATATGTGAACTATAATCACCAATTTAAAATTTTTAGAGGGGAATTGGAGAAATATGATAATACTATTTTGATGTCAATAACATTTTTATTTTTCTTTAATTTTATTTTGGGTAAAGATTTACAGAGGAAATCAGTTTTTCATTCAACAGTTCATGCATATTTGTTTCATGTTATTGATTACAATCCCTGCAATGTAATATTACTTACCTGACTTCCTCCCTGTGTTTCTCATTTCCATTCCCCTTCTTTCCTAAAGTTTCTGAACTTTGTCCTTGGGTAAAAACTGTCCTTTAATCTCAAATGGTCGATTGTTCTAAGGAGGACATACCTCCCTGATGTTATTGTTCCTCTATAAACTTGTTAGTGCCTGACTTAAAATTGAATCCAGGCCATAGTCTTGGGGATTCCACCAGTATATTCAACCAGTAAGTTGGTTCATTTTTAAGATTTTGAATTTTATTCTACATTTTCCTTCCACTCTATCCAGAGTCTTCTAATGTAATCTGTTTCAGAGCAGTTGTTAGTGGTAGTTAGGCACCATCTAGTTCTTCTGGCCTAAGAGTGTAGGAGGGTGATGTTTGAGTAATCCTTAATCCATTGGACTGATTGTTTCCTTGTGTCTTTGGTTTTTTTCACTCTTCTTTGCTTGAAATCAAAAAAGATCAATAGTTGCCCCTTAGATGGCCACTCACATGTTTTTAAGTCACTACTCACCAACGTAGGGTGGTATACAACATTGCCATTGTAAAATACAGTATCTCAATTGATCTTTGTAATCCCTGAGACTATGGTCCTGAACCCCAGGCTCAGTGACTAATAGCCTCAAGGTGTTTGGTTATGGTTAATCATAACTCTGCCCCTAGTATGCTCCACCACATTATCTATCTACAGCATAGGTTAAAATACATATATTGTTGTTAGGTGTCATCAAGTCAGTACTGACTCATAATGACCTTATGCCCAGCAGAACAAAACCCAATCCTGGGCCAACCTCACTACTGTTTCCACACTTGAGTCCATCGATGCTGCCACTTGGCCAATCCATCTCATTGGGGGTCTTCCTCTTTTTCTTTGACCCTTCACTATACCAAACATAATATCCTTCTCTAGTGACTGGTCCCGCCTGACAATATGTCCAAAGTATGAAAGATGAAGTTTGGCCATCTTGGCCTCCAAGGAGCACTCTGGCTGCACTTCTTCCAAAACAGATATATTGGTTCTTTTGGCAGCCCATGGCACTTTCAATATTCTCCTCCAGTACCATAACTCAAAAGCATCAATTCTTCTACAGTCTTCCTTATTCACTGTCCA